CCATGGACTTGTGCACATTCAGGTTCCTAGGATGATCTTGAACCTGATCCTTTCCTCTCAGCCTTCTCCAAATCCAGGGTAGCCAGTTCTCCTGATAGCTTCCAGAGAGGGCCCACATTATCCCTAGTCTGTTCAGTCTGTCCCACAAGGAGTAAAGGGAGGATGTGGCTGCATTTGTGCAATCTCGCTCCTCCCTCTGGTAAGACTGGGCCAGTCTGAATAGGGTTGCATGTTATGACTCCACTAATTTCTTTACTTTGCCCACCCGGCTGACAACAACTCCAAGGCACAAACACTGTGGGCAGAGCTTGTAAGGCCTCAGCAATATGAAAACGTAAGTTGTCCCTGCAGCCTTGTATCGCAGCTTACCTGCACTGTGTGTATCCGACAGAAATGCTTCTGTCTGTCTTTAAGGCAGCCTGGTTGTAACGACTCACTAGAAACAAAGGGAGGTCTTGAAGCAATTACATAGCTAAGGAAATAGAACAAGAAAATATCTAAACCACTGGTTATTTTTACAACTTAATGATTGTAAAAATAGCTTAAATTACTTAGACTATTTTTTTCATTAGAGGTATCAACCATTTAGCACTATCTGAACAGAGGGCTGTTGCTTTGCTGTTTCTTTGTGTGTTATGAGCTGTGAGATAATGACAAGATAAATCTTTGTGGGTTTCCTCCTTATATACATATCTACATCAGAGCTGTGAAGTCAGAGGGGGAAGCTGCTATCACAGCACTGGCACAATACCGAGCCCTTCCCCAGAGCTATATTCTGATGAGAAACGGGGTGTTGGGGAGAAGAGTACCTCAATGGTAAGATGGCAGAGACGGCTGAAGCAGGATCATAACATTCACCCCAGCAGTTAAAAAAAATAATAAAAGGAGACCCCCTCCCTCCCCCCAGAATTCTGCAGTCCTAAAGTGCAATTACTTTTGTGCAGTCATGTCAGGCCAGGGATCAGACTGGATGAAGTTCAAAGCACAAACATCAAACGAGTGCCGTTCGGGATTCGAGGAGGAGGGGGGAAGTAAGGAAAAGAACAACAGTTCTCAGGCATTCAAGTGCATCAAGAAAATAAATGTTCCTTTCTTTCAGAAGAAAAACAACCCTCAGTCTGGTGGAATCCTGGCTTTGTAGTCATGAAAAATAAGGGTTTTTTTCCACTTCTAGCTGAGAATGTCCCAATATGACACAGTACAAATAAACACCAAAGCAAGAGCTGAGGTGCCGGGATATTTTTGTGGTGCCCTGCTGCTATACAGCCTTATTTTATTCTCCTCTGGTGACTCTTCAGATCTGGGTACAGAAGAAGCACACTGAATTAAAGGCATCTGGTAGGAAGTGGCTCTTTTCTCTGGTCGGTCCGGGCTGGACCCGTCGCTTGGTCTTTGGCCATTGTACAGCAAGTACCTGCCCCGGGCATCCTGCTCCATTTTGAAGATCTCATACTCGGTGTGAGGTAGGCGGATGCCGAGTGCAATGCAGCCGTTGGTGTGGGTGACATCCAGCTGAACCCCAACTTGCCAGGACCCCTGTGCTCCGCATTCATTCCCATTGAAGACATTGAGCAGCGAGGCTGTGGATATATCCATGGGAGTGACCTTCATGTGATTGACTGCGAGAGAGGAAGAGAGGAGCTATTAGCAGAGGGATGAAAACAAAAGCGAAGACAACAGGCGGGTTGGAGTGTACCTGCGAAATCAGAATTGTCTCTCCCTGTTCATTTGAAATCAAATTTTCATACTGTGGGTGTTGCCAGCAGATCTATTTGCATTGTATGTCTTTGATGCAATTGCTTCTCGCACAGAGCACACACACACCCCAATGCAGTTGAAGAAAACCTGATGGCTGCATATCTCAGTCAGAGATTAAGCAGAGCTTTTCATAAATTCCAGACAATCCTGTACAGATAAAAGCCTGGTTTGTTGTATTAGGAGATAGGTAAAGGAAGAAACAATAAAACTTTAATCATGTTTTAATACCATCTCTGTTAACCCGTAAATAGGACTGTTTATCATGTATTTTTCATAATTTTTTAATATCTGTTACCCCATAAAGCTAATGAAATAATTGGTTCCAGTTGGAAGATTTGGAAAGTACCACAGCTGCACTATCTTCCTAAATTACTTGTCCTTTTTTGCATGAACTATAAAATATAGCTGAACTAAGGAGAGATGCTTTTTCTCGTATCTCAACAATGGCTGCAGCTTGCAGTACCAAACGTAGAAGTGCTGCAGCTTCTGCAATTCTAACCTGCCTGTATTTCAAAAGAGCTTAAGACACAAAGTTTTATTTTTCAGCCCATTTTTAAAGGCTGGGAAAAATCAAACTGAAGGAGCCTATAGAAGCTGGATAGAGTTTTTTCCTGGTGTGCATTTGACACTGCATCAAGAAAAGGGGATTCGAATGGATCCCCTTTCAGACAGGGGGAAGGAAATAATAAGCCATCATGCCTCCCAGCACACTAAAATCCCAGTTCTCTTGCTGTCATTTTATAGTAAGACTTGTTGGGAGTTTTATTCTGAAGTTTTATAAACAGATTTGACCCAATGACTCTACAGTTCACATTATTTGCCCTGACTGGTGTAAAAGGTGATTTATAGAAACTGAATCTAAAAGTTCTAGCAAAACCAAGTTAGTAACCTTGATCCATAATGTAAGTTGGCATAGCATCAACCAGGAAGTCAAGAAAAAACTGGACTTCTCTCCAGGAGGTCAGTTGGGACATGCTGCATGCAGCTCTAAAGAGCAGATGTTCTGACAGGCAAGGGCATCTCCTGCCTCCTATGAAAATCCCAGATTAGTAAATTGGTTTTTATAGTTAGATGCTTTCCTAAATTGGAGCCATGCAAGAAGCTTTATGCTTCTCGCATGGTAACTGAGAGAAGATGGAAAGAGACCACAGAGTGCTTGGGGCTTTCAGAAGCTCTGCTGGGGCTGGTGCCATGGCAGAACATCGTGTTTTGGAAATGTTTGTTTGTGTGAGTGGTTAAAGCCACTGAGCTCTTTCTAAGCAGGGTGCTATGGGGCTGTTTACACAGGAAGGCTTCTCAGCTACAGGGACCCGGAGAGCGTCACTGCTGTGTGCTGCTTCCCAAAGTACTTGAGGGTTGCAGTTAGATACATCTCATCTTCACTGTGGTGGGATCAATCAGCGGTCTTTAGGGACATCCTTACTTGTTCTAGGGCTCCTTGGAAGCTGATGAAGACACATGCTGTTACATGTCTTTGACAGAAAATTATTTATACCACCTCAGACCTGAAATGTCTTCTGAAGGTGCTTTCTTCTCTCTACTGAAGGGAGCCCTAGGACACAGATCTAATCTTAGATGCCTGCTTAGATGCTTGAAATCTGGCCACTGGGCTCCAAGACTTAGTGATGCGAAATCTTATTTTCTTGTGCTGTACTTAAAGATCTCTGCCTCAAATGAGAATTGCTTCAGTGGTGTGAGCTGCCGTGCAGCTGTATAGTTTGGCTGGCATTCACACACCGCTTGTGAGCTTCCCAAGAAATGACTAACCCCTGAAAACAACAGAATGAAATAATCAGCAGCCAAACTGTTACGAGTGAACTCTGCTCTGGTCCAGAACTATTTGACCAGCTCTGCCCCCATTTAACAAGACACTCTACCTTTGAACACAAACTCTGTGCCACCCATGACTTTGGATGAGTGCACTCCCCGGCTGTAGCGTCCTTTGGCATAGATGGTGAAGGTGGGGTGCTTGCAGATGGGGTCGGAGTAGTGGTAGTAGTGACCTTCCCAGGTGTTGTTGTTGTCGTGGAAAATGAAGTGCCGAGTGAGGAAGAGGACCTCTGGTCGCACCTCGCAGCGCTGGCTCACCCACTCTCCGTGTAACCCTATGGTCAGATCCGCCTTGGGGGGTAAGATGGGAGGATGGTGCTCATCCGAACGGTAGATGATTCTGCACGCGATGCACGTGCGGTCATGATTCTGAAACGAAGCAGAGAGAAGCCCTCGTTAGGCACTATCCACGATACAGGGCAATGAATCAGGCCACCTGTTTTGTGCTGAAGTGACACCGACTGCACAGGATCATCTAGTTCCAACCCCCTGACTGTTCTATGATTCTATGATTCTAAGGGTGAGACTAACAGGAGTTTCAAAGCACTTGAAACATGACACCGTTTGGTTTTTTATGTCTAAGGCTGCATAACAGAAGAGCAGTTAGGAAATTAATTCCCTCATCTGCATTTATCTGAACATTTTACACCAGCTTTTTATAGGCTCTAGAAAAGGCTGACTTTATCCTTCAAATAGTATGAGAAGCTGTCAGATGTTAATTTACTTGGCAACACTTGTGTTAGAAACAAATGCATTTGCTGAGCTCTTATTTTGCATCTGTTTTCCTTTTAGTTCCTTTTGTAGAAAGACAACAGTGTCCTAAGGACATTTTTCCTCACATCCACCTTGTTCAAAGTGCGGGGTGTTTTCCTGAGGTGCAATTCAGAGTGCACTGCATTAAGAGCAGAAGCTCTCTATGAAGCCATTGGGGTGGGAGATTTATACAAATACTTCCAATTTGCACCCATTTCCAGTCCTCTTTTCTGAGATTTCTCCAAGCTCCTCTGTAATGTAAGTGCTCATATTCATTGCTCATACTTTAAAGCCCATGTGAGCTGCTATGGAGTCAGCATTTCTCCACTCACTGCCTTCAGCTCACAACACACTCCAGGGGTGACATTTACACAACCTTTGCTAGTGCCCTGAGTTTCTCCACTAATGTGACTGTAGCCGTCTTCAGAGAATCAACATAAAACTCCCATGGTATATCCCTTCTACATATATTAAACAGGGTTCATATTTGCCCCATCCCAGACCAGATAGACACCAAAAGTCAGTGAGATCCATGAAAAGTGCTGTTCTGCATTCCTGGGATTTAGAATAATGGTCTATGTGCAAAATAATTATAAATGATGTAGCTCAGGTTGATGTGAACCAGTGCTGGCCAACAACCCTGCTCTGAGGAGGAAGGAGGTTGGACTTGGTAACCTCCAGAGGATCTTCCCACCTCAAAACACTTGGTCTTTTGTGAACCACGTGTCAGCATGCTATTGAAGTGGATGCAGTTCCTTCTCACTATGGAGCTTATTAACCAATTTTAAGATACCTTTTTTTTTCAGGTAAATTCTGCAAGCAGGTGCAAGAGCCATTAATATCTCAGTGAAAATACAAAGAATACTTAATCGAGTAATTTAACTGCAGCTGGTGAAGTTAGCACAGATTTGTGCCATAGTAATAGACAGCAGAGGCTGGTGCAAAACTCCTGGCTCTCCTGAACATTGAAAGCACAGACACTGCATAAGGACTGTGAAACTGAGCCATTTTCTGAGATTACAAGTTTCAGGTTGGATTTTCTGAGATTACAAGTTTCAGGTTGGATTTTCTGATGGTCAAGAGCAGAACCAAGATCCAGTTATGTTTCGTATGATGATGTATGTTTCTTGTGTGGCCTTCCTGTGTGACTTAACCTCATTTCATAGAAACACAGACAATTACAGCTCTTCTGGTTAGGACAGGGCTGGTAGGAGGCTAAATAAAGACATTGAACTGTCAGAAAGCAGACAGAAATTTCAGGGGCCTGGATTTAAAATAAAATTTTAAAAAATTACAATCCATAACAAACTACTTAACAGTTACTAATACTAATATTCTAATAGTATGTAGCTCTATTCCTAGAACAAACCTTCCAATACAATCTAACAGAAGTCCAGTGTCCACCTTCCTCTTGCCTACAATAAAATCTCAGCAGTTTTCCTCTGTGAGGTTGTTTGGGAGTTACAAAACTGGTCTGTTGAATCTCTCGCTGTCTTCAACAGATGTCAGTCTTCTTCTCTGGGAAGTGGTCTCGTTTACTGAGTGGTTTGTGGCTCAGGATTGCTGGGGGGCAGATGACTTATAAATTACTAGGAAATGAGTTGGTGCTGGGGAAAGGTGGAGACTACCTTGGCACACCTCGGGCAGCAGCAGAGCTGCCCCATTTCCAATGAGCTCCAAGGAGGATGCCAGAAGCTGAGCGCTGCTGGTGCACAAGGGAACTGTTGGATGAGGTGTACGGTTCTGTTCACTGCCAACCAAAGCACCAAGGAAACACACATTTTTGAACTGTTATAGAAATAACGCTTTTTCTTCTTGGGAATCAGTATCTAAAAGATGCCCCAGCTGCCTTGCACAGGCACCTGCAGTGATTCAGGCCAAGGGATTGCTCTGGGGAAGATGCTGGTGTCTACCAAGCACTCATTTCTCCAGAGTGGCTTTTCTGCCACAGGGCAGGCTGGTGTCACTGCTTCTTAACACTTTAAGGGCTAATAAACTGCCCAAATGACAGAAACTTTATTGCTGTGATTGCCCCACTCACATAAAGGGAAGCAAGAAGGTGAGGAAAAGACAGTGTCGTAAAACTAAACATAGCTTATAAGAGCTGAATTGGTCAATAGAAAAAGACAACTTCTGATACAGTCCCTTCTCTGCTGAAGTTGAGAGCTCTTATCAGCTCCCAGAGGAGACCCTGGCAGAGCAATATTTGGTTTGGTTTATATTCCCATTTCCCTCTCAGGAGCCTGTCCTCCACAATCAGTTTGTGAGCCAAAAGCAATTTAACGTGGGAACCAGTGGTTTCTGTTGCCCTTGTTCAAAACCTGAAGAAGACCAAGTGGAAACCTAGCCTGTTGTCTTCTTGGTCACCCTTGGCTGTTTGTGGGATTCCTCTGTTGTTTCTCAGGTCCAGTGAATGGGTAAGAAGGAGATGTGTAATCAATCCTATTTGTAGCAACATTATTAGGTTTTTTTTTTTACTTTCTTGACCAGGAAGGACTATCAAGCATAAATGTTCTCTTTGCTGTTCTTCTAGCAGTGATCTTAGGTTTCACCTCTCCTCTACAACATTAATAAAAATGATTATGATGAGTCAAGGCTCTGATGCTGGGCTGGAAGTATTATCATAGTTTGACATCTTCTCCATCATACTGGGAGTGTAGAAGGTGTACACTGGCAACACCTGCAGCTGCTTGGTCCCTTGGCTGTGGCCAGCAGCAGAGTAGGCAAAACGTCCATAGAGCTCCATGGTGGAAAAAAATTCATACCTACAAGCAGCCCATTTCTCCTTATCAGGAGTGGGTTCACGTCATAAGGCAAGAGGAAGAGTTCCCAAAACTTACAAAAGTCATGCAGTGTGGCTACAATGTCTGTCATTACACTGTGAGTAGAGGTGACTCCTTGGGCCAACTGAAGGAAGGCCCGGGTTAACTGAGTGCTAAACTTCACTTTGATTTCTGTGAGTTGTCTGTAGCTCACTTGGCTTCTTTGATCTCTCCAGTGCTGAACTGCTGTAACTCTGTACAGCCCTTCGAATTCCAAAGGCTCTGCACCAGCTCTGAAGCTCTGTCCAGTTGCGCTGCTGCCAACCTTCTAGCTACTGATGGAGTGCCTGGATGGAGGGGCTGAGGTGAATGGGCACATTTTGCAATGAAGAGGGAGTGGGACAGGGAGAGGTTGGCGTGGTGAGGATGGGAGCAGAAGCATCCCTTTCACAACAGTGAGACATCAGGCAGGCTCAGGTACCTCATACAGCCTGAACGCATTGCTCCCCAAGACAAGCGCTAGTATCTAAGCCCACATAAATGTTTGGGGTTTTTTCCTGTGATACTATCTTTCACAGAGTTATGAACTTAGTGGAAGAATATGCCACGTGTGAACTCCCTTAGTACAATTCTGTCCAAGTAATGGATGATGGAAAGATCTAGCTTTGTTATGAGGCAATTTGACTTAATTATAGAGTAATTTACGTTCGACAATTGAGTGTATTTTTCACTGTTGCTTTTTCAGGTCAGCTGCTCTTGGCTCTTAATTACACTAGCTGAGGCTTTGCAAATCACTCCCTTTCCATGTGTCTCACGGAAAGATTGTTTTCTAAAAACAGAGTTCAAAGAAAATAGGGAACACAGGCAGAGGACATTCGTGTACAAACACGATTAAGTACTCTCTAATAAAAAGCTCATTTGGCCATGACATAAACTAAAAAGCAATAAAATGAGCAGTGGACAGGATGAACATCTGTTTTATGTTCTGATTATCTTAGGTGTATAATGCAATACTTTTAATCGTGGGGTCTGACTAGAAGGACCAGTCCCTGAAATTGCTGCTGCCTAATGACTGGAAGATCTCTTCCCATACAGGATGCCTCCTTGCAGCTCTGCAGTGCCAAACCCGTGGTGCCCCAACTCCTCGCTCTCCCGGGTGTTTCTTTAAAGCAAATTATCAATTAATCTATGAGGCCATGTGGCCTGAAACAAGCCTGAATGTTTGGCTGGAAACACAGTTCCTGTGTTAGGGAGAAAACAGTTTGTGATCTGAAAATTTCCACCAACAGTTTTCCTTATCCCTCCCTCCTGCTGTCTCAGCTGAAGTGGTAACAAGGCCAGAGAGCTCTGGAAGTCAAGCAGGGAGGTTTCTAATAAAAAAAAGGCAAACAAGGATGAGGTTCCTTGATCCTTTTCCCAATTGCTGTGGATAGTCAGAAACATAAACCCTCTCAGCATCGTTTAATTTTCTCTTAAATTCCACGGGGTTCTTTGGCTGCCTAGGGCTAATTTGCTTCTAATCATTTCATAGTGCTTTTTTTATGGCCCAGGCCAAAGAAACAATCACACAATTGCTTTCTGAGCAATGGTGAAATAAGCTTTGAGTAACACCTAGAAAGATCTTTTTGGAAGGTGTTCTAGTTTTCTTTGAACACCTTTATATTTCAATGCCGTTGACATCTATATATGTGTCTATATAACAGTAAGACATCTATGGACCAAACCCTTTTCAAAATGTACAGAAAATCTACATTTTCCTTGTGGTTCAAGCAGAAGCTGAAATAAATGCTTAGTATTGAGGAGAAGACCTGCAGGATGTACTGCAAGCTGTATTTAGGGACAAAACAAAAAGCA